TTTATTTTTATGGATATTTTCACGAAATAATTGGCTATATTCATTTTTGTGGTTAAAATTCAGAAATAATATACTTTTTTGGAACGCCAACTTTTGATCCCAGTAAAATAGTAGACCAATAAGTTCCCGAACAAATCTCCGAAAAAAAAAAGTTTCTCAAAAATGACCAAAAATACATTCATTTGCCTTAAAATACTTAGCCATGTCCATTTTTGTGGTTAAAATTCAGAAATAATATACTTTTTTGGTACGCCAACTTTTGATCACAGTAAAATATTATACCAATAAGTTCCCGAACAAATCTCCGAAAAAAAAAGTTTCTCAAAAATGACTAAAAATACACTAATTTGCCTCAAAATACTTAGCTGTGTTCATTTTTGTGGTTTAAATTCAGAAAAAATATAATTTTTTGGTACACCAACTTTTGATCACAGTAAAATACTATACCAATAAGTTCCCGAACAAATCTATGAAAAAAAAAAGTTTCTCAAAAATGACTAAAAATACACTAATTTGCCTTAAAATACTTAGCTATGTCCATTTTTATTGTTAAATTTTAGAAAAAATTTATATTTTTTGTACATCAACTTTTGATTACAGTAAAATCTGTGGTGGATATTCTTTTTATCTTAAGTCAAAGACAGGAGCGTCGCGGCGGACTTCCGCCTTCAAACTGTTTTTTTTATTACAAAGAGAGCAAGAAAAAGCAAGAGAGTATACAGAGTACATTCAAACAAAGCAATTATGCATAACAACATATTTACAGAGACTTTTCTCTGGAGTCAGTGTCGATCTAGTAGCCTGCCAGTTACCCACGACATATGCCAGGAGCAGTAAGTGACTAACTGCCCCGAGACCTCTGAATTCATACAGATATACAAAAGAGTTTGATGTGGGAGTGGGTTTTCTCTCCATAACCTTCCTCTGCAGGTACGTTACCATGGCAACCATAGATTGTGTCCCTCTTCTGCTGCTCATGTTCCAGGGGTCACATCAGTTTAAGACAAGCACTAGATATATATTATCAGATACAGTATTTCATACAAAGTTCCCACATAGTTTAAGACAGGCACCAGGCACCTATTAACAGAAAAGTAAAAACACTTTGTGTAATTAATAATTCAATATGTGGAAACAACCTACACACATATCTGGGGTGTCAAAAGCAGGTGGTTAACTTTTGCTGATAACCATTCGTTTAATTAAACCTTCGGAGTCACCATATATGGACCTGTTGAGTTATATCAGAGCAGTAATATTTCTACAAATCCTATACTCAAGTTCCTGAAAATGTCTTTAAAATTAAAAGTTTCTCAAAAATGAATAGAAATGCACTCATTTGGCTTAAAATATGTATCAATGTCAATTTTTATGGTTAAAAATCAGAAAAAATATATTTTGTATGTACGTAAAAATAAGTTTTTTTTAAAGGAACAATAATTCATTAAAATGTTTATGTTCTTTTTCATGGTTAAAATTCAGGAAGAAAATGTGAAACTCTTATTAAAAGCTACATATGTTGCTGATAAAATCTAAAATATAAAAGTGTAACTATTGGGGTCAACCTTGACTCCAGACACTGACATGGGTAACGTTTATTAGTCTTTATTAATATCACAATGTGCTCCAGGGTTCCTGCAGTGCTGCTGCTTTGTGCTCTGCTCTCAGTCTGTCTCTAGCTGACTGGATGTGTGCGCACTCAACTATCCATCCTCCTTTCTTGTTCCGGGGTTCCTACAAATAAAAAGAGAAGCCTGATTAACTGAATTGGATTAACCTGTATCATGTGCTGTGCCTGCATCACCACTCCAATGTATATGTATTTATCTCCGGAAAAAAAGTTTCTCAAAAATTACCAAAAATACATTCATTTGCCTTAAAATACTTAGCTATGTTCATTTTTGTGGTTAAAATTCAGAAATAATATACTTTTTTGGTACGCCAACTTTTGATCACAGTAAAATAGTAGACCAATAAGTTCCCGAACAAATCTCCGAAAAAAAAAAAGTTTCTCAAAAATGACCAAAAATACACTAATTTGCCTTAAAATACTTAGCTATGTCCATTTTTGTGGTTAAAATTCAGAAATAATATACTTTTTTGGAACGCCAACTTTTGATCACAGTAAAATAGTAGACCAATAAGTTCCCGAACAAATCTCCGAAAAAAAAA